TCCCCATATTGAGACCCTGTATCCAAGGTTTAGTAGACAGAACACTATTTGACAACTGGACTTTATTTATAAATAAAGAACTTGCACTGAAATGGATAAGTCCTCAATGAGATCCATTGTCACCTATCCATTCCCCCTTTCAATTTACCAGGTGCAGCCTTTGTGATTTATTTCTTTTATTTTTTAATGAAGCATCCCTGTCTGTCACTGACTCACAAGAAAGGTCAACTAGTGCTAGATAATTAAATGCAAATTAATGATTACAGCATTATGCAACTGAAATTGATTTTACCCCCACATATACACTGTCATAGTCATTTCCTGCTGAACTACACATCTGGATGTACAGCAGCTATGGACAGTTTCACAAACTTTCCCCCCTGCGATCATTTGCTGGCGACACGTTTGAAAATTGCATAAGTGTCAAATTAATTATGGAAATGACAACCCCTGTGCTTTCTTAGTTTGTGGCTTTTTTTTTAAAGATCATTTTCAACCCTTCCCATTTCTGAAGCTCCTTTTTCCCATTTCTCATCGCCAGCGGGGAAGAGGATGAAGTTATCTCCTGAGGATTGATACCTGGAAACCTGATGTTTGGAAGTTGCCAAGAGCAGTACACTACTCTTTGACTCCTCTGTGAAATGCTGGAGGATGATGCTTAGTTTCTGATCAGTACATCTTAACTGGTGTGGCTGTGATTTTGGGAATCCTGGTGTATGGCTGCATGTTGAGGCATGAATGTGTTCACTACTGTTCCTTAATGGAGCAGGTTTGAATGAAAGAGGGAGAGAAATTAAGTATATCACAACATCTGAAGTAAGATTTCTTAATGCTAGGGGCAGTAATAGGTAAGTGCATAGCAAATTAGTGGAATGCATTGCTGGAGAGGTAGTGGAGTCAGCCTCATTAGGGGTATTTAAGCGGCTATTAGATAGGCATATGGATGATAGTATAAGGTAACAGTGGAGGTTAGATAAGGTTTAGGGTAAAAGTTCGGCACAACATCGTGGGCCGAAGGGCCTGTACTGTGTTGTACTGTTCTATGTTTTATGTTCTTTAGCAATGACAACTATGCACAGAGGCACCACAAGACATGGTGTTCACTGTGGACCATCTGTTATTATTGAATGTTAATTCTGCTCTGCATTAGTTTGTCAAACACTAAGAGGAATTAATGCCAGTGCACATATGATAATAAATAACTGGTAATCTCTCTCGATTCAGATCAGATGGTAATGGGCTTTCGAGTGCCAGCAGTTTAGTGATAAGAACTGAATGGAGGTAAGGGTTGAAATGAATGTTGCCTACATATCGTTCACTAAACATTAGATGGCCCTCTGGTGTGAAAAAGAACATGCCAAAGGTGTTAATCCTTGACAGAAGAGGGTTTGGGAACTAAAAGCATCTTGGGGGGTGTCAGCAGACATTGCCAAATTAAAATACAACCGGTTATGACCACATCAATTAGGATGAGACAGTGACAATAAGGAGATATATAAAGATTTTTAATTCATTTTTGGGACGTTGGCATCGCCGGCCTGCCAGTATTTACTGCCTGTCCCTAGTTGCCCTTGAGAAGGTGGTGGTGAGCTGCCTTCTTGAACCGCTGCAGTCCACCTGCATATTGTTATCAAGTGTGGTCAGTGGATATCACTTGCGTATGAAGTGTTTCTAAAACGGGAAATGAAATATTTTTTCATCACATGAGCATGAACTACAGAAACAATAAAAGATAATAAAGGAAATGAAGGCCAGCTACAGTCAGCATCTCCCTGACTTTGTATGCACTGGTAGTATCTACAGCTTGCAATACTGTGAGCTCAGCCTTTCATAGAACATAGAACAGTACAGCCCAATACAGGCCCTTCAGCCCACGATGTTGTGCTGACCTATTATCCTACTAAAATCAATCTACCCTCCATACCCTACGTTTTACTATCCTCCATGTGCCTATCCAAGAGTCGCTTAAAAGTCTCTAAAGTATCTGACTCCACTACCACTGCTGGCAGCGCATTCCAGACGCCCACCACTCTCTGTGTGAAGAACCTACCTCTGACACCTACCCTTTCCAGTTGGTGCTTTCTCTAATTCAGTGTGTGGAAACTCCAAATGAATTGATCAATGGGCCTTTTATCTGAGTCCTTAAACTTACGTTTACTGGCTGCAATTCTCTGTCGTGTTGCGAAGTTATCTACAGTTTCACCAAGACCCTGAGTCTAGGAGGAGGTGATGGCCTAGTGGTGTTATCACTGGACTATAAATCCAGAGTCTATTGGGACCTGGGTCAAATCTTGCCATGGCAGATGGTGGAATTTGAATTCGATGAAAAATCTGGAATCAACAGTTTGTTGATGACCATGAAAACATTGTTGATTGCCAGGAAAAGCCCATCTGGTTCACTAATGTACTTTAGGGAAGGAAACTGCCATCCTTACCTGGTCTGGCCGACATGTGACTCCAGGCCCACATCAATATAGTTGATGCTTAACTTCCCTAGGGGAAATTAGGGATGCATACATAAATATGTATGCCAGTACAGCAAATCAACAGCAATTTAAACATTCCTGACCTTATTTCTTTGCCCTGTTCAACAACTAACCAGTGTTGGTCAATGTTTTTCCTTAAGGGAAACATCACCAGAAAATAAATCTGTTTATGGTGTGTGTATACATGTGTGTGTGTGTGTGTGTGTGTGTGTGAATGTGTTTTAGGTTAGTTGGAGGGATAAACATTGATATTTTCAAATTAAAAATTCACATGTTCACCAATTTTGCATCACTGTTGTGTAAGTTTTTGTTTTACAGCAGGTCAATGATGTGTTATTTTAAGAAACATGATTGATGGATCCTTTTAGTCTAAATCTAATATAGAGATTAGCATACGAGTGGCCATATTGGGAACTGGGTCGAACAGTTACATTTATATTGTGAGTTGTGGGTAGTGGGACTAGAGAGAATGCATTGTTCCCATCAGAGTCATAACACTACTAATAATGTGCTCAAAGTAACAAATAGGCATTTTCCAGAATTGGCACTTTTCATTAAGTGTCATATCTTATTAATGATTTAAAACTGCTCCAACCATCAGGTTATGTTATTCAATGAATTCACCAAGGATTAAGATGTCATCCATATGGCATTTCACTCTTTTGTCCATCTACAGCCTTGCGTGTAAGGAATTAGGTAGTTATTGGAGGTTTCCTGAAACAAGGTCTCACTTCACTTCTCAGAATTTCTCTGTTCTGCTTTCGGACCTCTGTTTATCTTATGGGCTATATTGCTTTTCTTAAAGTCAGCTCTTCCTTAGACTGCAATAGTAATGACGGTGGTTCATCAGCAATACCTACTACAATGTGTCAATTCAGTATAAATTCTGTCTTTATATCTCCGTATTCACATCCTTCAACTATCCAGTAAAGGTTATTAATTAAAGCATTTAGCAGTTCACCTGGTGTCACATTTAGTGTGCTGCTAAATTAGCTTTTTTTTTTAAACACTAGTAAGGTTTTGCTCAGCAGATCCCCAATTATAGCCTGGTTCTCTGATACAAAGCCTGTGATCATATGGTCAGGCTCTGGTATGCATGCACACCTTGTTGTACAACCTGGAGAGAGATCGTAGGAACTGCTGATGCTGGAGAATTTGAGATAACAAGGTGTAGAGCTGGATGAACACAGCAGGCCAAGCAGCATCAGAGGAGCAGGAAAGCTGATGTTTCGGGTCTGGGCCCTTCTTCAGAAATTTCTTCAGCATTTCTGAAGAAGGGTCCAGGCTCAAAACGTCAGCTTTCCTGCTCCTCTGATGCTGCTTGGCCTGCTGTGTTCATCCAGCTCTACACCTTGTTATCTCTTGTTGTACAACCTGAATGCCTTTGTAAGTTGACTTTCTGACAATGTCTCCTCTTAGTTGTCATAGCAGCCTTGGACTCCTTCACTGCCTCCTTCTGCGTTCTGCTAATTTGCTGCCACTTTTTTTCAGATCTGACTTTTCAGTCTTTAATGTAGCTTTTTAAAGTTGTCTGTACCCTATACAGTTGCCACCAGAACAGCTTCACCACTGTTCTACGATCAGTGAGTCTAGGGAAGATGATCAAGGTTTAAAACAATAATTGCTTTATTTCATAAAGAGGAACTATCTACACTTTTACAAAATTATGACTAACATTGTTGAAGCCATGATGATTTCCTATGTCTCTCATCTATGGGGCTTGGACATCTCCATCGAGACCAGGATTTATTGTTCATTACTAATTGTCCAGAGGTGTAGTTAAAGAGTCAACCACATTGCTGTGGGTCTGGAGTCACATACAGACCAGACCAGATAAGGATGAGAGACTCCCTTCCTAAAGGGGATTAGAGATCCAGATAGGTATTTATGGCAATCAAAATTGGCCATAATTAGGCCAGCTTTTTATTGAATTCAAATTTCACCAGCTGCCATGGTGGGATTCAAACTCATGTTCTTCAGACCATTGGTGTGGAGAGATTATTAATATAGCGACCTTAGCACAATGCCACAGCCTTCCAATAATATGGTCACTTACATCATTACAGCGGGAAGTGTTATTCGTATTGTTGCCAACAGCGGGAGGTGGTGATATTATCACTAGACCATTAATCCAGAGACCTAGGTAATTTCCTGGGGACCCAGGTTCAAATCTCACCACAGCAGATGGTGGAATTTCAATTGAATCAAAGTCTGCAATTAAGAGTCTTATGACAACCATGAATCCATTGTTGATTGTTGGGAAAAAAAAGGGTCTAGGCCCAAAACGTCAGCTTTCCTGCTCCTCTGATGCTGCTTGGCCTGCTGAGTTCTTCCAGCTCTACACCTTGTTGTCCCATCTGGTTCACTAACGTCCTTCCAGGAAGGAAGCTGCCATCCATACCTGATCTGGCCTACATATGACTCCAGACCCACAGCAACGTGGCTGACTCATAAAAAAAATAAGGATGGGCCTAGATAGCAATGCCCTCATCCCAGGGATATATTTTTTTAAAAACCTTCCAATCTCTTACATTACATACAAAGTATGATGGATAATAGGTATAAAACATTTCATTTTAATAATAATATTTAGATTTTTTAAAATAGGATTTCACATTTTTGTGGATTATTCGAGTTTCACAGTGAATGAAAAAAAAACACAAGAAAGAGGAGCAGGCTCCATTGTGTAATACTTGGGCTTCAACCCCTCTTTCCAGCCCATTCCCACATCTCTTGACTGTCTGAGAGAGCAAAAGTATTTCAATCCTGGAATAATAGAATCATAGAGTAATATGGCATTGAAAGAGCCCTTCAGCCTACCATGTCTATGCCAACCAACACCAAACTACGCTAATCCCATTTACCTGTTCTTGGCCCATATCGTCTCTAATGATATTGAAATCAGCTTTTCCCTAATTTAGGAACTTAATTTCTGCACTATCCATTTCCCTTTCCGTAATAACTTTGAAACTCACAAGAGTCGTAGTCACTACTCCCAAAACTCTCGCAACACTGTGTAATCTTTTAACACCAAGACAATCCAATTTAGCAAAAGTTGAAATCCCCTCCAACTATACCCCTCTTTCCCTCTCACCTTTCTGTGATTTTGACTACATATCTGTTCCTCTATCTCCCTCTGCCTGTTGAGCAATCTGTCATATAATTCCAGCAAGGTAATCCCCCCTTTTTTATTTCTAAACTGTACCCAGACGGCCTCATTTGAAGACCCTTCTAGGACATCCTCTCTCATTACTGCAGTAATAGCTTCCTACATCAATAATGCAATGCCCCCCCTCTCTCTTACTTACTGCTGCTATTGCACCTGAAACTTAAATACCTGGTATGTTGAGCTGCCAACCCTGTTTTTCTTTCAACCACCAATAGAATGGCCTACATCCTGGGTTTCTGTTTAAACATCTTCACTATCATTCACAAAAGAGTCGTGTGAGTTTTGGGTGTAATCATTCTTGCCTTTAGATTCCCTTTCTTCAGTCCAGCAAAGTCTTTGTGAAAATTGTGTTTTGTAAATGCTGATGGCTGATTTCAATGATCAGCGGTAGCAGATCAGGTTCCCATCATATAACGTTCACAAATCATTCGCACTGCGCAAAATACATGGAAAGTGATCACAGAGATCTTGTCTTTGCATCATTTACGCACAACGCCAACCGTGATTCATTTCCTAAGCAAAATCATATAAGAGTGAAGGCTGGCCCAGAGAACATGTCTTTCTGAAAATATGGGCATCTTTCAGTAGATCCTTAGTATGCAGTAGATCCTTGGTACGGAGATCTGAAGCATTTCTCTTTACTTCACTAGCAGCCCTTTAATTAGACGATGTTCTGCTGAAGGGGACTTTTGGAAGAGCGATAGGGGTTTGCAGCATTGACGAGTTCCCCTTGTTTCTGGACAATTACCATCACAAGTCCAGCAATAATGAGGAAGAGCAACGATACAGAGATGGCCACACCTATTGTTGGAAACAAGAAGCATCAAGAAACATAGAAATATAGAAGATAGGAGCAGGAGGAGGCCATTCAGCCTCCTGCTCCAGATCCTGATCCTGCTCTACCATTCTTCACGATCATGGCAGATCGTCCAACTCAGTAGCCTAACCCTGCTTTCTCCCCATAACCTTTGATCCCATTCGCCCCAGGTGCTATAACTACTCACATCTTGAGTACATTCAATGTTCTGGCATCAACTACTTCCTGTGGTAATGAATTCCACAGGCTCACCACTCTTTGGGTGAAGAAATGTCTCCTCATCTCCGCCCTAAATAGTTTACCCCAAATCATCAAACTGTGACCCCTGGTTCTGGACACACCCACCATTGGGAACATCCTCGCTGCATCTACCCTGTCCAGTCCTGTTAGAATTTTATAAGTGTCTATGAGATCCCCCCTTATTCATCTGAACTCCAGTGAAAACAATCCCAACCTAGCCAATCTCTCCTCATATGTCAGACCCCCCATCCCCGGAATCAGCCTGGTAAACCTTTGCTGCACTCCCTCGAGAGCAAGAGCATCCTTCTTCAGAAAAGGAGACCAAAACTGCACGCAATATTCTAGGTGTGGTTTCACCAAGGCCCTGTATAACTGCAACAACACGTCCCTGCTTCCGTACTCAAAACCTCTCGCAATGAAGGCCAACATACCATTTGCCTTCTTTACCCCCTGCTGTGCCTACATGTTTACCTTCAGTGACTGTGCACAAAGGCACCCAGGTCCCACTGCACAGTCCCCTCTCTCAATTTACAGCCATTCAGGTAGTAATCTGCCTTCTTGCTTTTGCTTCCGAAGTGAATAACCTCACATTTATCCAAATTATACTGCATCAACCATTGATTTGCCCACTCACCCAACCTGTCCAGATCACGCTGAAGGATCTCTGCATCCTTATCACAGTTCACCCTCCTACCCAACTTGGTATCATCTGCAAACTTGGAGATGTTACATTGTGTTCCCTCATTCAAATCATAAATATATATTAAAAGACATTCAGTAACTGTTTTGCAAAAGAAAAGCTACCATCACCATAGCGCGGTATGCTGGGTCAGTGGTTAATATTGCTGCCTCACAGCACCAGGGACCTGGGTTCTATTGGGTGACTCTGTGGAGTTGCATATTGTCCCTGTGTCTTTGAAGGTTTTCTCTGGGTGCTCTGGTTTCCTCCCACAGTCCAAAGATGTGCAAGTTAGTTGGATTGGTCTTGCTAAATTGCTCCATAGTGTCCAGGGATGTGCAAGTTATGTGGATTAGCCATGGGAAATGCATGATTACAAGGATATGGTAAAAGGGTGGGTTTCGTTGAGATGCTCATTAGAGGTTGGTGAGGGCTGAAAGGCCTGTTTCAATGCTGTAGGCATTCTATGATTTCCATGTTTTGCCAAAATAAACAAAAGAAATTCTATTTTCCATCTCTGGTACTTTATTTTCTGTCAGCTTTATATCTACCCTCCCTCCAACATGCAAAATACCCCCTGCAAGGGCTTTAAGGACCACTAGCTTTCTCCTCATGATGCCTGATTGAGTTTGCGGTTGCAGACAATAGAAGGACATCACAAGGAAGCTCATCCCTGTCCTCACTCCACCTTTGCTTAACTGTAAAAGCTAAGGTCTCCACAGTCCCAGAGAGCTGCTCTCTCATTAGAAACGGATAGCTGGTGTTGGGTTTAACTTCAGGGTCAATACAGGCTGAGAAGCCAGGACCTTCATAGTGGCCTCAGCCAATATAGGAATTGAACCCACACTGTTGGCATCAGTCTGCATCAGCAAACCAGCCGTCTAAGCTAACCAACCCTTTAACACATTCCAGAGCCCAAAGTCATCTTTCAATTTATTGTACTGACATTAACATCAGTGCTCTTCTCGGAAGCACTAACTGAAAACAGACACAGAAACCAGGGCAGACAGTGAACTTCCCAATCTGTCGCCCTTGTTTACTCAATAATCTCTTTACAGGTCAGAGCAAGACAGAGGTGTGTGAGTTTCCATGAGTGTAACAGCTTTTATTCACTACATTTTCAAGTGGCTACTCCATGCTTCTGCCTCCACCTTCCAGCTCTTTCTATAGCTCTGACAAAAGAATATTCAACATCTTTGAATTGTCAGGAACAGAAACAGAAGTTGCTGGAAAAGCTCAGCTGGTCTGGCAGCATCAGTGGAGAAAAGATCAGAGTTAATGTTTCGGATCCGAGGACACTTCCTCAGAAGTGTTTTGAAAAGTTAACTCTGATTTTTTTTCTCCACAGATGCAACCAGACCTGCTGAGCTTTTCCAACAACTTCTGTTTCTGTTCCTGATTTGCAGCATTCACAGTTCTTTTGGTTTTTATCTTTGAATTTTCCTTAATTTTGGTGGCAATATTTTTCTTGTGTCCAAGCTTTGTTTTCTTAATTTCCATTTTCACTTCAACCTGTACTTTCTATACTCCTCTGAGCTTCCTAAAGTATTATGGGTTTTTTTTCTGAGAATGTCATAGCTCCATTTCAGTACCTTATTTTCCTCTGTATGTTTCTGGATAACCAATCGCAACCATTGTCCATTGTCTCTCTGCTGATTTTAGCTTTTCAGTTGGAGCCACCTACACTAAGTCCATTTCATTGCCCTTTCTCTCTCCCTCCCTCACCTTTTATGTTTTTCTCAATGTTAATCCACTTCCGGTTGGAATTATGTTACAATTCCTGCACAATTGTGAATGAAACATTCCACATTCTTAGAATCCTTAGTATGGGAAGGAAAGGCTTCAGCCTTCCACATTTATGTTTTATAGAATCATGCAGCATAGGAGACCATTCAGCCCGTTGTGCCTGTGGTCATTGTATCATTCCCCTACTTTTTCCTGACAAACCCTTTTTTGCTCCTCAAGTGTATGTTTCTGATTTTACCACACCTCCTTCCCCTGGCCTGTCAGCAATGCAATCCTGACTGCAAAAAGTTGCTTCCTAAAACCAAATATTTGTCCCCTCTCTTTTCTTTTTCCAAATTCTTTCAGTCTGTGTTCTCTGCCTATCAGCCTTAATGCAAGAGCAAATATTTTCCTCTCATTTACCCTGGCTAGTGATCAAGCTGACTCTCTGCCTATTCTCTTGTTGCTTGGATCTTGCACAGTGGCTCAGTGGTTAGCACAAATGCCTCACAGCACCAGGGACCTGCGTTCAATTCCACCCTCGGGTGACTGTCTGTGTGGAGTTTGCACATTCTCCCCGTGTCTGCGTGGGTTTCCTCCGGGTGCTCCCACAGTCCAAAGATGTGCAGGTTGGCTGGATTGGCTATGGGAAACGTAAGGTGACACAGGGATAAAGGGTGGGTCTGGGTGGGATGCTCTTCAGAGGGTCGGGGTAAACCTGATGGGCTGAATGGCCTGCTTCCACGCCATAGGGATGCTATGATACTTACTGACTTTGTAGTGCCTTGCGATATTGTCATTTACCAACGTGACAGTGATATTCTGAGAAAACAAACAATGAAAGTCATTACCCTTGGTGCTCAGCCATTGATTTAGAGAAGATACAGATCCAGAGATACAGCCTGGTGAGGGCTAACTCACACAGATTATCACAGCTGATAAGTGTGGGAGAGAATATAGCCTAGCAGACCCCTGTGTTAATGACGGGGTCAAAGAATGAGTCTCAAATTACTTCATCAAAGTGAAACTTACACTGGAACAGGTTTGTTGGGAGGTCTGGGGAGGCAATGGCCTAGTGGTATTATTGCTGGACTATTAATTCAGAGATCCAGGTAATATTCTGCGGACCAGGGTTCAAATCCCGCCATGGCAGATGGTGGAATTGGAATTCAATAAATATCTGGAATTAAGAATCTAATGATGACCATGAATCCATTGTTGATTGTAAGGGAAAAAAAAACCATCTGGTTCACTCATGTCCTTTAGGGAAGGAAACTGCCATCCTTACCTGGTCTGGCCTACATGTGATTCCAGACCCACAGCAATGTGGTTGACTCCGAACTGCCCTCTGAGCAATTAAGGATGGGCAATAAATGCTGCCTGGCCAGCGATGCCTTCATCCCATGAATGAATAAATGAAAAAAAAATTTGCAAGTCACCATGGAGATCATGGTGTGAAAACCAGTTAGTGACCTTGGATATACATACATCAGAGACCAAATGGTGTTTCAAAATCAACATGTCACAATGGAGATTATGAACACCAGTAAATCAGCCATGCTACAAGCCATACTGCCAAGCATGATCAGGTCAAAGTCTTCAAGGCAATGTCATACAGTCATCGAGTTATACAGTATGGAAACAGACCTTTCAGTTCAATTCATCTACAGTGACCAGGTTTCCCAAACTAACAAGTCCCACATGCCTGCATTTGACGCATATTTCTATAACCTTTCCTATTCATATGCCTGTCCAAATATCTTTTAAATGTTGTAACTCTACCTGTATCTACCACTTCCTCTGGCAGTTCATTCCACATATGAAACACCCCTTTGTGTGAAAAAAGTTGCCCCTCAGGTCCTTTTGGAATCTTTCTCCTCTCACCTTAAAAATATGCCCCCTCGTTTTGAACCCAGGGGAAAGACCTTTGTTATTCACCTTATCTATGCCCTTCATGATTTTATAAATGTTTACAAAGTCAGACCTCATCCTCCTATGCTCCAGTGGAAAAAGTCCCAGCCTTTATAACTCAAACCTTCCATTCCCAACAACATGCTAGTAAATTTTTCTGAACCCTATCCTCCCTATAGCAAGGTGACCAAAACCATGCACAGAACTCCAAAAGTGCCCTCAACAAACTTAACATGACGTCCCAACTCCTATACTCAATAGTCTGAGCAAGAAGACAAGCCTGTTAAATGCCTTCTGCAACATCCTGTGTACCTGTGACACAAATTTCAAAGAATTATGTACCTGAACCCCTTGGTCTCTCTGTTTGAGAACACTATCTAGGGCCCTCCCATTAACTGTATAAGTCCTGCCATTGTTTGTTTTATGCAATACCTCATATTTATCCAAATTAAATTCCACCTGTCAATCCTCAGCCCATTAACCCAATTGATCAAGATCCCTTTGTAATCTTGTAAATTCATAGCAGCTTTCATAACTGTTTAAGAAGATTATGGTTTTAGTCAATTGATGGTTTTGTGGTACAAAGATTATTTTTCCAGTTGGATTCCACAGGGCTTGGTATTAGATCCCTTGCTGCTCATGGTTGCTAACAATTTTTTAGATTTAAACATTAGTGTCAGGATAAAGAAATTTGTTGAGTATTCAATAATTGGCCAAGCAGTTAATAGTTAGGAGAAAATTGTAGACTGCAAGAAGATATTGAAGGGTCAGTGCTGATTTGATGGGCCAAATAGCCTCCATCTGCATGGTAGGGGTTCTATGATTCTAAGATATCAATGGACTAGTCATGCAGCTGGGCAGGAAATTGGCATTGAATCTAGAAATATGTGAGGTGGTGCTTTTGGGGAGGACCAGAAAGGCAAGGGAACACATATTAAATAGGAAGATGCTGAGAAGTACATAGGAAAAGAAGGATGTTGTAGATCATGCCCACAGTTCTTTGAAAGTAAATGGACAGGTAGATAAAGTAGGTGAGAAGGCATACAGGATTTTTCCTTTATTGGTTGAGGCTTAAAACTCCATAGGAGCAAGGAGGTTAGAGCACACTTTAGATTATTGACATGCGAAGCACAATAACCTAGGAGGGCTAACAACAAAGAGCTGGAAAGTAGAAATAAACTAGATAGGCCTTTCTTGGCTAGAGTGAAATGTTCGTCTGAGATGGTTTCCATCTGTGCTAGAAAACATTTCAGTTTCTGTTTCTCCAATTGTAAAAGAGCAATTGTTTACAGCGTGCACAAGTTTTTTTTTTAATTCTTTCAGGGAATGTGGGCTTTACTGTTTGGGGCAGCATTTATTGGCCATTCCTAGTTGCCCTTGAGAACATGGTGAACTACCTTCCTGAACCACTGCCATCCATTTGATGTGGGCAGACTCTCAATGCCCTTAGGGAGGGATTTTGACCAGCGATTTTAAAGGTTGTTGATATATTTCCAAGTCAGGATTGTGATTGGCTAATAGGGAACTTGAAGGTGGTGGTGTTCCCATGTTTCTGCTGCCCTTGTCCTTCTAGACGGAAGTGCACATGGATTTGGAAGGTGCTGTCTAAAGAGATTTGGTGAATTTCTGTAGTGAGCGTTGGTGATGGAGGGAGTGGGTGTTTTAGGCGATGGTGCTAATCAAATGGATTGTTTTATCTTGGATGGTGTGAAGCTTCTTGAATGTTGTTGGAGATACAATCATCCAGGCAAGTGGGGAGTATTCCACCACATTCCTGACTTAGACCATAAGACATAGGAACAGAAATAGGCTATTAGCCCATTGAGTCTGTTCCATAATTTAATCTTGACTGCTATATTTTTCAGTCACATTCTCCAGCCTTTTCCCCAAAATATGCAACATGTGGACAGGCTTTGGGGAATCCAGAGGTGAATTACTCACTGCAGGATTCCTAGCCTCTGATTTGATCTTACAGACACAGAAACTAGTTCAGTTTCTGCTTTAATGGTAACCCCAGGTTGTTGGTGATGGGGGATTCAGCAAATGGTAATGTCATTGAATACAGAGAACAAAGAAAATTACAGCACAGGAACAGGTTCTTCGGCCCTCCAAGCCTGCACTGAATGTCAGGTGGTGATGGGTTGGTTCCCTCTTGTTGGAGATAATCATTGCTTAGCACTTGTGTGGCGCAAGAGTTACCTTCCACTTGTCAGCCCGAACCTGGATATTGTCCAGATCCTGTTACACTTGGACATAGACTGCTTCAGTATCTAAGGGATCATGAATGGTGGGGAACGTTAAGCACATAAATATGTTTCTGAAAAGATAAAAGTGACTGAAGCAGTAAAACAATGAGTGTGTTGGGTATTTATCTTAACTATATGGGCATTTGGACTGAGATGTTCTTTAAATTGTTTCCTTTATTCATTCATAGGATATGGGCATCGCTGACTAGGCCAGCCTTTAATGTCTATCCCCAATTTCTCACAGAGCAGTTAAGAGTCAACCACATTTCTCTGGGTCTAGAGTGACATGTAGGCCAGACCTGAGATCTCCTTCCTTAATAAAGGACATTAGGCTTTGGATTCAAAGTCTAATGACAATACGACTAGGCCATCACCTCCCTTTGCTAGTTGATGGAGGTGATGGCATAATGGCAACATCGGTAGCTTGGCCATGCAGAACCTCAGGCTAATGTTCTGAGGACATTGTTCCAAATTTCACTAGTGACAGCGTATGCAATTTGAATTCAATATTTTTTTTGAAAAGCCTAGTAGACAGCAGACCCATTAGTGTTGACAGAGAAACAAATTATTCCCATCTTATTGATCTGATTGGATGCAGCAATGGGAGATTTTTAATCAGGTCATAGTGATTAAAATGGACAGGGAATAAAATGGACAGTTTCATCTTGAGCAGAAAACCAATTGGGATATTAAGATGGAAAAAACAATAAAAGATAAACACTTGTGGGGCTGGTGGAACAAAAGGACCGTGTGCTTTTGACAGAGTCACATCTTTTGATGGTTCAGTTCAATGACAATTTGAGAAGGGGTCTATTCGGTCCAGTAGACCTGCTTTAAGAGTTGCAGGCTGATAGACAGGACAGAGCCAAAACCAGATCTAAAGAAGGGAGAGATAGAATTAGGAAGTGTTCCATGTTCATGTTAATAACATTACTTGTTTCAATGACGGAGATAGAGGAGTCAGATGGTCGGATGTTTTACTCCTTTTGGCTGAATGTTTGGTCTAGGTTCAGAGACATTTCCCAATTGTCCTGAAGTAGTTTTTAGACAAAGACAGGTTCCAAAATTCTAGCCACAGGGTGGGCTGGTCATCCAATTAGTACAAAAGGTGGGTTCTCAAAACTTCCCATGGCTGCAGAAATAATAGGCACATTATTTGAAATCTTCTCTCAGTCTCTGGAAAGAACTGGAACATTGCAATTGTAATGCCTCGATTCATATGAGAAGGGATGTAGAAAGCAGGAAGCTTTAGACCAATTTACCTAACATCTGTCACTGCTGAGATTGCTAGGATCTTTTATTAAGAAAGTTGTAGCAGGACATTTAGAACATCCACAACAAAATCAGGGAGAGCCAACATGGTTTTGTGAAAGGGAAATCTGATAAATTTAATAGCATTCATGGGGTTGTAACAAAGAGGGTGGATAGAGAGGAATAGTGGATCTTGTATTGGATTTCACAGCGACATCTATTAATGTGACACGTAAATGTCTACTGCATAATATATGGTGTTGGAATGATGTATTAACAAGGGCAGAGAATTGGTTACCCACATCCACCACTTCCTCTGGCAGCTCATTCCGTTCACGCACCACACTCTACCTGAAAAAGTTACCCCTTAGGTCCCTTTTAAATCTTTCCTCTCTCACATGAAACCTATGCCCTCTAGTCATGGACTCCCCAGTCCTGGAGAAAAGACTTTGACTATTCACCCTGTCCATGCCCCTTATGATTTTATAAACCTCGACAAGGTCACCCCTCAGTCTCCAATGCTCCAGGGAAAATAGCCCCAGTCTATTCAAACTCTCATCAGGTTGGCAAATTGTAAGTAATTCAGCATCCCTTTCCCTTCAGGTTTTAACTATCCTGCCCTGAAAAATGATTTATCAATTGCCTGTCTTGTCAAATGAGGCAAAGCTAGTAATCTAAGTGGGATGTTTATTAAAGCTGGAAGGCTTTGAGAAATCCTCACTCACCATCGAGAGATTTGGCTGGTCCATTAAACAACTGATGTTTTGATGATTCAAGAAATGTTCTAGGTACACTTTACTGCAGTTACTGAATACTGGGTTCATCATCCACCTGCACAGAAACAAAGCACATTTTTGAGCAAAGACAATTACTTTGGGAAAACTAAAGGCCATTAACAGATGAGCTTCCTTCTTTTTTGTAATTACTCCAGGCGTGAGTGTAGAGACGATTTATTCGAAAGGCATGAGTTGTGTAGAGACCACAAAATTCCAGATGGTTCTTTTTCGAGCAGAGAAGATTATAGTTTTATTGAAGTGGTCAAAGTTTTGAAGCATTTTGATAGAGTGGAAATTAAGTGAGAAACTTGACAGGATGGTTACTAATCAGAGGACGCAGATTTTTAAGAAAATTGTATAAATTAGGAATGATTAACAGTGCTGGCCTAGCCAGCAACACCATCATTCTGTGAATGAATATAAAACAAAACTTGGGCTCTTTACAAGTTTTTTTCCCCCTGCTTCCTTGAAGGAGATAAGCCAACTTTCCCAGGCATCACATTCATCCGACATGGGGAGGCAATGGCCTAGTGGTATTACCACTGGACTGTTAATCCAGAGACCCAGATAACGTTCTGGGGACCCTGTTTGAAACCCGCCATGACAGATGGTGGAATTTGAATTCAATAAAATATCTGGAATTAGGAATATAATGATGACCATGAATCCATTGCCGATTGTTGGGAAAAACCCACCTTTTTCATTAATGTCCTTTAGGGAAGGAAACTGCCATCCTTACCTGGTCTGGCCTACATGTGACTCCAGACCCACAGCAACGTGGTTGACTCTGAACTGTCCTCTGGGCAATTAGGGATGGGCAATAAATGCTGTCTAGCCAGCAATGCCCTCATCTTTAATGTATTAAAAAAAATGCCACTGTGTCCCTGGTCTGGGTGTTGGAGCTATTGATGTCTGGGGCCCTGGCCATTCACACAAACAACAGCTACTGCACTTGAAAGGATCACTAGCACAAAGTGCTTTTAGCCTTCCCAGCACAAAGACAATGTTATCTGTGAATGCCTCACCATTTGCTCAATTTAACCTCGGTCAATAGTCAAAACGAAGCCATTGGTAATGAAAACTAGGAGAGGTTTACGCATAGAGTCATAGAGTCATATAGCACGGAAACATACCTTTTGGTCCAACTCATCAATGCCAACCATGTTTCCCAAACTAAACTAGTCCCACTTGCCTGTGTTTGGCCCATACCCCTCTAAACCTTTTCTTTTCATATGCCTGTCCAAAAAGGGGTAAAACGGATCAGATTGAATTAGTTGCCTATCAGCAAATGATGCTGACAAGTTGACATATAAACGTTACAAAGGAAACACTTGTTAATTTTTTTCTTAAGAGTAGAATGACCTTTACAAGCTCGTTAAACAGAATGAAGGATTTGTTTATTGCCCTTACACAGCTGATTTTGCCAGTAAGCACTTCCCAGAGGTGACAGGACATTGACAGCTGGGTTCGTCGTGAAACATTCCCAGATTGTGACCTATCTCGTGCGCAATATATTTAGCCACTTCTCGGGTGCTAGCCCACGTGTCCTGCAAGTGCAACAGGGAAAAAAACACAGCATTTATTAACACAGTATCTCATGTCACATAAAGCAACTTCCACACTTTGGAATGAATACACAATCCTTTAACTCCTTTATCTACATCTTCGAGTTTTATAGCACGAACAAATTTTCTATCCACTCCTCAAAGCAGTCCAAAACCGATTCACTCATGTGGTTGGGAAGGGTTTAAACTAAATTGACAAAGTGAGGGACACCAGCATATAGAATTCCAAAAGAAGAATAAAGTACATAAATTAAGATTGTCAAAGAGTACTAGAGAAGGAAGTAGTACCTTACTACATCAGAGCTAACGGAGATGGATTCCAAGGAATACAAAAATAAGATGAAGATGCAGTTTAACGGGAGTGTGGAGGTCTTTGAGAGGGTGAAGAGGAGATTTACCAGAATGGTTCCTGGGAACTTTTGAGGGTGGTTTAGTTACAAGATTCAATTGGAAAGGCTGGAGTCATTCTTCTTGGAGCAAAAGCAATTGCTGGGAGATATAATAGAGGTGTACAAGATTACATCAAGCTGGATAAGGTAATCAAGGAAAAATTCTTTCCATTAGCTGATGGTACAAAGACTAGAGGACGGTAACTTCAGGTTTTGGGGAAGCAATACAGTGGAACATGAGATAGGACTACTTTAAGCAATGAATGGTAATAGCCTGGAACTCACTGCCACATAAGGGTGATGGAATCATAGATGAGGAGGTGCTTTCAAAAGAAATTGGACGGAAACTCAAAGGAAATAAATTATCAATTTTTATAGATGCACAACAGAAAGCATCCTATCTGAATGCATCACAGCGTGGTATGACAACTGCTCTTCCCAAGACCGCAACAAACCACAGAGAGTTGTGAACATGACCCAGTCAATCACTCAAACAAGCCTTTCATCCATTGAGATTACAAAGTGTAGAGCTGGATGAACACAGCAGGCCAAACAGCATCAGAGGAGCAGGAAAGCTGACGTTTTGGGTCTGGACCCTTCTTCAGAAATGGGGGAGGGGAAGGGGGTTTTGAAATAAATAGAGAGAGAGGAGGTGGCAGATAAAGGAGCAGATAGGTGGAGAGGAGACAGACAGGTCAAAGAGGCGGGGATGGAGCGAGTAAAAGTGAGTGTAGGTGGGGAGTTAGGATAGGGGTTGATCAGTCAAGGGAAGATGGACAGGTCAAGGGGGCAGGATGAGGCTAGTAGGTAGGAGATGGGGGTGGGGCTTGAGGTGGGAGGAGGGGATAGGTGGGAGGAAGGACAGGTTAGGGGGGCAGGGACAAACTGGGCTGGTTTTGGGACGTGGTCGGGGGGAGGAGAGATTTTGAAGCTTGTGAAGTCCACATTGATACCATTGGGCTGCAGGGTTCCCAAGCGAAATATGAGGTGCTGTTCCTGCAACCTTCGGGTGGCATCGTTGTGGTACTGCAGGAGGCCCAGGATGGACATGTCATCCAAGGAGTGAGAGAGGGAGTTGAAGTGGTTCACGACTGGGAGGTGCAGTCGTCCATTGACTCCACTTATACTTCCCATTGCCATGGGAAAGCAGCCAACATAATGAAAGACCCCTTCCACCCTGGTTATACTCTCTTCCACCATCTTCCATCAGGCAGGAAATATAAAAGTTTGTATACACACAGAAACAGATTCAAGTACAGCTTCTTCCCCACTGTTATCAGAAATTTGAATGGACGTCTCAAGTGTTAATTCTGATTTCTCTCTGTGTACCTCCCCTCTGGCTGTAACACTGTATTCTGCACTTTGTTCTGCCTCCCTGATGCACTTTGTATGGTACAATCTGCCTGTATTGCATGCAAAACAACACTTCTCACTGTACCTCAGTACATGTGACAAAATAAATCCATCAATTAATCAGGTCGCAGGGCTACAGGGACTGAGTAGGGCGGTAGAACTGAAATTATCGCTCTGCAGGTTTATATCATGTTCTTAATTGGCCAAATGGGTGCTTCTGTACTGTAAATGCCTTCATTTTCTCTCCCTTCCTCCCTCTATTGTAAATATCTCTTCAAAGTTGCAATGATCTGTGCCTCATTATCTCCTTTATCCTTCAACAGCTCTCTACACAAATAAATTTCCTGTAACACAAGTCAAGATCTTTCATACTGATAATTTTAAACTGATCTTATCCCTGACTCTCCCAATCAGAGGAAACAGCCTAATCTTTCATTGTTGAAGTGAATCCCAAATACATTTCATTTTAGCTTTCTATGATCCAGTGAAGTTATTGTTCTGGACCTGTAATTTGCATAGAACTAAGACCAATGGACATCTACTTCCCTATTCCCCGTTAAATTTTCATTAAATAAAAAGAGTTTCATGGTTTAATCTAGTTCCAAGTGGGAGTACACATACAGCACAAAACTGCTTTTAATTCAGCTCTATTTGGCAATCCTAGTAAGAGAAGTCATGAGATGAGCAGGTGTGAGAATTGGAAGTGTTACATTCTCTTATTGTTGGTGTGAGAACAGACTGCAAAGAGACGCAGCTGCATCAAACCCATGCTTAAGCTGGTCCTTCACAACCAGCGTAATAATTGAACTGTGTTATTTCTGACCCTGCTCTCATTAACTTGTGCTGTAACTGACTTGTAATTCCATTCAAGGGATGCGGTTGGGCCAGCTATTATTGACCATCCTTCAATGTCCATGACAGAGTGAGCTGCCTTCTTGAAATGCTATCCTCATTGGCATGTAGATATATCCACAGTGCTGTTTGGGAGGGCGGGTGGGTCCTAGAATTTTGACCCTGCAAAACTGCAGGAAAGTTGACATTGTTTCAAGTCAAAGTGGCTTACATGGGATCTTTCAGAAGACGCACTTAGCTGCCCTTTTGCTCCTGGGTGGTAAAGTTCATGGATTTAGGAAGTCCTGCTGAAGGAAACTTGATTCAATGCATCTTGTATATAGTACCTAGTGATGTCAATGTAAAGCCACCATCATCTTACCAGACTGTAGGTCTTCCTTCTCATTCGGGAAAGAGAGAGAGAAAGAGAGAGAGACAATTGATGGTGAGTTTAATCTGAAGGGCACCACGCCTCTGGCAAGGGGAGCAGTTGAGAAGGACAGAAGGTAACGTCAGCCAGTGCAAAAATTGAACCCACACTATTGAGTATCACTCTGCATTGCAAAGCTAGCTAACTGAGCTAACCAACCTCCTCATGCCATTGTATATTGGGGATGGAGGACGTTAATGTCTATGGCGGAGGATAGAGTTGTAATCAGGCAGGCTGCTTTGTGTTGAGTTTCTCGAGTGTTGTTTGGAGCTTCACCCTTGCAGGCAAGCGGACAGTATTCTATCAGACCAAGCTTTGGGGATTCAAGAGGCAAGTTACTCACCTCATGCAGCATTCTCAGCCTCTAACCTGACCTTGTGGGCACAGTATCTATATGATTGGCCCAGTTGAATTTTCAGTCAAGTAAGTTGACGGCGAGGGCTTCGGTAAAGACCGAAAGAAATGTGGCCGCTGTAAATCAGGAGCACAAACAGAAGTTGCTGGAAAAGCTCAGCAGGTCTGGCAGCATCTGTGAAGAAAAAAAATCAGAGTTAACGTTTTGGGTCTGGTGACGCTTCCGCAGAACTGCTGCCAGACCTGCTGAGCTTTTCCAGCAACTTCTGTGGGAGGGATTCAGTGTCTAGTGGTGCATCTCTCCCATGCTGTGTCAACCATGTACCATTTCTACTGCTGCTTTATCTGACTAATGCAATGTCCAACACTATTATGTTGATTGGCCATGCTAAATTGCCCATAGTGTCCAGGGGCATGTCAGCTAGGTCGATTAGCCACAAGAAATGCAGGGATTGAGTCTGGGTGGGATGTTCTTCGGACGGTGATGTGTATTTGATGGATCAAATGGCCTGTTTCCATACTGCAGGGATCCTAACTGATCCATGCTATGACAGCTTACACATTGTTTTACATGAGTCTGGTTATATCTGATGCACACTCAATCTGAGCCATATTTTATCTCCACTAGCGCTGTATTGGATCTTAATGCCGAGTGCATGCACCCCATTTTCCAGAATTCAACTCAAAGAGAACAAAATTTCATCCAAACAGATTTGCCTGAATGACATAAGGCCATACCTTGACGACTCCTCCACTTGTCTCTTCCGAGCACATAGCATTCATATAGGCTTGTCCCACCGACTCTTTAAAAGGCATGCCACTGAAGAGAAACAAAATAACCAGGAAGGTCATGCAGTGAAAGGCAAACAAAGTTGAAATACGAGCCAGCATTGACTGTAAGGCATAGATAGTGCACAGTGTGGAGCTGGATGAACACAGCAGGCCAGGCAGCATCAGAGGAGCAGGAAAATTGACGTTTCGGTTTGGGAGCCTTCTTCAGAAATGGGGAGGGGGAAGGGAGCTCTGAAATAAATAAAAGAGAGGAGAGGTGGAGCTGAGGAAGGTAGGTGGGATGGTGATAGCTGAGTGCAGGTAGGGAATGGTGGGGATTTGGTCAGTGAGGTGGGAGGAGTGGATAGGTGGGAGAGAAGATGGACAGGTCAAGGAGGCGGGGATGAGAGGGAGGGTTGGTCATGGGATGAAGCCGGGGGTGGGGAGATTTTGAAACTGGTGAAGTCCACATTGAGACCATTGGGTTGTATGCTCCCAAGGCGCAATATGAGGTGCTGCTCCTCCAATTTCCAGGCGGCGTCGTCGTGACACTGGAGGAGGCTCAGGATGGACATGTTGCCCAGGGAGTGGGAGGGTGGTGGGGCTAGGCGGGGAGTGTGGAGCAGATCAGGGAGTCGTGGAGAGAGTGGTCCCTATGAAAGGCAAATAGTGGTGGGGAGGGAAATAGATCTTTGGTTGTGGGGTCGGATTGCAGCTGGCAGAAGTGGCAGAGAATGATACGTTGAATACCGAGGTCAGTGGGCTGATATGTGAGAACAAGGGGGATTCTGCCTTTGTTTTTGTGGTGGGAGGGAGGATGTGAGGTTAGAGGTGTGGGAAACGCAAGAGATGCAGTCGACAGCATTTTCGAGCACCGAAGGGGGGATGTTGCAGTCCTTGAAATAAGAGGACATCTGGGATGCTCGGGAGTGCAGACGCGGCGGAGGCAGAGGAATTGGGAGTAAGGGATCGCATTCTTGCAGATTGCCTGTGAGGCATCCTCTTTACATAACTTTGGAAATGTTAATAGTTGGGCCAAGAGTGTTGCAGACCTATGCTGAGGATGCAAATCTGTAACCACCAGCCTATCTTGATAATATTGTAAAGTGATGGCTCCACTCACTGGCACAACTGGGTGTTACATCTCCGTACAGACCAAAAACATCTCAGAGTTCATTACTGTCTATCTATGTCAATGCAAAAGGCATAGTAAGTGCATGGGTTTACAAATATTCTCTCCTCCTTCTATCCCACACCAAATGTGCAGGAATTCAAGCCATAGAGACACAGGTGTTAAGTGAAGATTTTTTTTTTAACTGAAGGCTGTGGTATGAAAGAAATCAAAAGATTTGGGGATAGGGTAGAAGAGTGAAAGTGAGCTAGAAGTTCCGAGATAGTAGGAACTGCAGATGCTGGAGAATCCGAGACAACAAGGTGCAGAGAAGTTCCGAGAGACAGTTTCCTCTTGTGGGGAAGAACACTACTGTCCACCTGCGTGGGATTGTCACCAAGAAATCCAATAGGTCTGAATGGCCTCCTTCTGCACCATCACAATTCTTTATCCAAAGTGATGAGAATGTGGATCTCTCGACTGGAGAGTTTGGTTGAAGGAAATACTGAAGATACATTTAAGGGGAGGCTGGTTAAACAGTTTAGGGAGGAGTCAATATATAACACATTTAGATGAGGAAAAGTGAGCTGAGGTTGAAAGGAAGCAATGGCCTCATGGGCTAGTTGTCCAGGAACACAGGCAATGTTGTGGGGAGATAGAGGGTCTAGGCCCGAAACGTCAGCCTCTCTGCTCCTATGATGCTGCTTGGCCTGCTGTGTTCATCCAGCCCTGCACTTTGTTGTCTCAATGTTGTGGGGACCCTGGTTCAACTCCTGCTTAGTGGAAGATGGCAGAATTTGAATTCAATAAAAGTTGGGAATGAATTGCCTACTGATGACCCTGGAACCTTTGGAAATTGTTGGAGGAAATACACAACTGGTTCACTAATGTTTTGGGGTCACCCTTACTTGAGCAGGCCTAAACGTGACTCCAGACTCACAGAAGTACGGTTGCCTGTTAACTAGTTGGGGCAATTAGGGATGAGCAATAAATACCGGCCTAGCCAGTGATGCCAGCATTCTACGAATGAATAAAAAATATGGAGTATTAACACGTGGCCAAAAAATGTCAGAGAGATTTACAGCACAAAAAGCAACTACCTAAACACTCTAATCCCATGTTCCAACACTTATCCCATAGCCTTGTATGCCTTGGCATTGCAAATGCAAATCTAAATACTTCTTAAATGTTTTGAGGGTTTCTGCCTCTACCAAACTTACAGGCAGTGAGCTCCAGATTCCCACCATCCTCTGAATGAAAAATCTTTTCCTCACATCTCCTCTAAACCTCCTGCCCCTTACCTTAAATCTATCCCCCCCCAGGTCATTGATTCCTCCATCAAGGAAAAAGGCTTCTTCCTGATTAACCTTATCTATGGCCTTCATAATTTTATATGTCTCAATATTAGATTTATTTTATTATAGAACCCCTACAGTGTGGAAAGAGGCCCTTCAGCCCCACACTGAACCTCAGAGCATCCCACCCAGAACCATCACACTGTAACCCACACATCCCTGCCCACTACAGGCAATTTAGCATGGCCAATCCACCTAACCTGCACATCTTTGGACTGAGAGAGGAAACCAGAGCAAGCCCATGCAGACATGGCAAGAATGTGCAAATTCCACACAGACAGTTGGCCAAGGGTAGGATTGAACCTGGATTACTGAAGCTATGAGGCAGCAGTGCTAACCACTGAGCCACCATGCCACCCATCCCCTGGCAGCCTCCTTTGCTCCAAGGAATTGAAAAAAAACAGGAACCAATACTACCCACCATGACAGACCAGACCAAATAAATTCAGAGTGGGACAGAACAACAGTGCTTCAACTTCTTCTACACAGCACTGAAGATGTCACCTAGAAGGGGGACAAAACTTTTACACGAAAACCAGTCAGCTCGGTGAACCAACCATCAACTCCAAGCACAAGCCGAGCTACAGATCTTTGTTAAAACATAAAACAACCCCATTCTGTCTAATCTCTCTTCATAACTAAATTTTCCAACCCAGGCAACAACCTGGTAAATCTCCCCTGCAACCTCTCCTGTGCTATCATATCCCTCCCCCAAGTGTGGATTCCAGAACTGTGTATAATACTGTAGTTGTGGCCTGAGCAACATTTTATACAGTTCCAGTATAAACTCTTTGCTCTCAAACTCTATGACTTGGCTAATAAAGGCATGTATTTTAAATGCCTTCTTAACCACTTTGTCCACCTGTCTTGATACCTTAAGCTGCACCAAGGTCCCTCTGATCCTTGGTGCTTCCCAGGGTCCTACTGCTCATCATATGAGCCTTGTTTGTTCTAAGTGCATTCCCTCACATTTATCCAGGTTGCCTTCCATTTGCTGGTCTCCCATCTAACCAACCTGAATGTATTCTCTCACAGTGTAAGGGTATCCTCCTCACCATTTACCACCCCACCCATTTTTGTATCCTCTGGAAACTTATTGATCAAGCTGTTCATTCAAGTCAAAATTATTTCTCTAAACCACAAACAGTAAGGGCCCCTGTTGGATCCTGCTGGAAACAGACTTGGAAAAACACCCTCAACCATCACCCTCTGCTTCCCGCCGCTCAGCCAATTGTGGATTCAATTTGCCAAATTTCCTTGGATCCCATGGGCTCTTACTTTTGCTGTCAATCTGCCATCCAGGACCTCAGCAAAAGCCTTGCTGAACTCCAAGTCGATTACATTCAAAGCATTACCTTCACCTACACACCAAAAATTCAATCGAGTTGGGCCTGTTTCTGTGCTATATATCCCATATAATTCTACAATCAATCAGTCAAGGTCTAATTGAATGATGAAGCGGGGTCTGGGAGTCATCTGGTCGACACTGACTCCTTTTTTTTAAGTTCTTATGCACGGCTTGATGTCAGGCAGAAAGAATAGACAAAGACTAGTGTGGGCCATACACACTAGTCATGTCTTTGTCAGTGCTGATAAGATGCCATTTAACTGAGGAGTGTGGGTGCTAATTTTCAGAGTTTAGATTTTTCTTCTTATTCATTCACATGGCAAGGGCATCGTTGACTAGGACAGCATTCATTGCCCATCCCTAATTCGCCAAGGTCTGTTGAGAGTCAATCACGTTGTTGTGGGTCTGGAGTCACCTGTAGGGCAGACCAGGTAAGGATGGCAGATTTCCTTTGTGAATGTCACTGGGCGCTTTCAGACCTGGAAAGTGCAATTTCCCATGCAATGATGCCAGTCTGTCACCAGAAAATCCATCTTCATTTCCCACACCCCCAAACAGTTGTTCACTGGCATGCGCCCACAGGTACCTGACAAGTTGGGCATTATCATGGCGTATCCTTGGCACAAGCTCTTTGCCTCTCCACTTCATAAAATTTAGCAGAGCCTTTGAAGTATCCTGGCTAGAGCTAATCTTGTTCTCTGTTGTCCAAATTTCAATGCCAACGAGAAAAATCTGGATATTTAGCTCTTTGTAATAGATCTGAAAAACACAAGAGTATCCTTAGCGTCTGTAAATCTTCCTTGGAAATTTTCACTCAGGTCTTCAGTCTATACTTGAACCTTTCAGCAATGTAACAGCCTTCAGTGGGCTGGCTCCCAAACCCACACTAGATTTGGTACAGATGTCCAATGATGTGAGGGGCCTGATTAGACTGGATGCGGAGGACCTCTTTCCCTCAGCCAAGGGATCAATCACCAGGAGGCATTAAGTTAAGGTGAATGGTAGAAGGATCAGATGAGGAAATATATTTTCATGCAGGGGCTGCAGGGGTCTATAACACAGCACCTGGAAGGATTGTAGAGGCAGAAACCTTTAACTTATTTAAAAGGTGTCTGGAGAGGTATTAGAAGCTATATAACCTCCAGAGGATGTGGAACACACGCTGAGAAACAGGATTAGGCAGAGTGACCTCTCTCTGCACCATAAACTTTTCTGCATTTTCTAAAGGAGGGATTTGCAAGGGATGGGAGGTGAGCGGCAACATACAGGTTGCTGCTCGGGAGGGTCAGCATGGACACGATGGGTCAAATGACCTTGTGTGGTGTAACAATCTACATCTCTCTCTCTGGCTTTCTCAGGCTTCCACTCATTCTCATCCAGTTCTTCATTTCAGTTCTATGATGTTTCTGTGAGAAATATGCTATCTAAATGTAAATTGTGATGGTTGTTGATGCCACAAACACTACAATGAGAGACTTCAGCTCAAGGGCTTCAGCAACACCTCATCGGAACGGGCAATAAATTCTGACTTTGCTGAAGTAACTAATCAAAAACATAACTGTTTTGTGGACTGGGAGGGTTTATTGAAATGTTTTTGTCCATCCTATACTCGCAAATCTATTTGGTTGCCATGGCTACTTGAGTGGGAGATTAATGTGAACAACTCTAAGTGCCTAGCGACCTACAGTGGCGTTGCTAAGTAATTGCAAAACAGTGTGGCTGGATTTGGCTTGTTTCTGGTTGAGAGACTGAGGTTGTGAAATGGGCTATTTGGTCATATTGTTCTATTGTCGTTGTACATTCTTTCAAATTTTTTTTCCAAGCACTTTTTTTTTGGAATGAAAGCAACTACTCAAAGGAACATGAAAGATTGACAATGTTTTTATTCCAATTCCCTGATAATTTTTCTCCCTGTTTTGCTCTCTGGGCTCCAAACCCTTCAGCAATCCCCCTGATTTCAGTAATGTTGAAATCAAAACCCCCAGCATTGTTGCCCACTCCAACCCATTCCTTTCTGGGGCCCCTCAACTTCTTAAATCCACTCTCCCTTCCCTTTACAATATATGTATATTCTTTTAAAATGCAAGGTTCACTGTTTTGAGTTATATATTTGCTGCCCTTTTTTTTGTCCTATCCTGATCTTAAGACTGGACTGCCCAGTAGGAAGGACATTATTTCCATTACCTGATTAACGTGATGTCCAAGAGTAATTAACCGTTCCTGGGTCTTTCTGAGGTCCCCTCCATTTTGGAGGAACTGTGGAAAACACAACAATAGTGAATGGTTCATGAAGAGAATGCACTTTTGAAGAGTTTTTGTCTAGTTCCCTTTAACACCAATGAAAGCTGCTTCTCAGCAAGATTTAAACCAGGGCAGATTTCGTTCATTGTCGATTAGGTTGTATATGACCAACGCAATCCATACTCCTACATTTCTCACTCCTCACCAAAGATTTTTTAAAATTCATTCTCTCTTTGGAATCATATCAAAAGAAGCATTTTTGCCACTACATGAACAAGAGTGGTGTGGAGTTGTGTGTGGAGCTGGATGAACACAGTAGGCCAGGCAGCATCAGAGGAGCAGGAAAGTTGACGTTTCGGGTCAGGACCCTTCTTCAGAAATGAACGAAAGTAACCTGCATTGGAAAAGCTTATGTATATTATAAAGCTCCACACAGGGAGTTGGGGTACCATTATGGACAAAATTAACCCCAATTTCCATTTGCTTTCTGGTAGCCAAGTGACCGGGCTGGTTATTTGGATCAGGAAGTTGAGCTGAGTTTTCCATTCTCCACACACTCTCTCCTCCACTCCACCCCCCCGGCAAAAATGCTTTAACTATAGGATGCTAATACAAACTTTCGGATATTGCCAGGTATGCAAGGTATAAAGAAAGGCTGTGACTTCTTTTACTGGAGCATAGGAGGTTGAGGAGCGACCTTATGGAGGTTTATAAAATCACGAATGGTACAAATAGAGTTAATGGTAGGTGCCTTTTCCCTAGGGTGGGGGATTTCAAGACTAGGGGCACATTTTTAAGGTGAGAGGAGAGAGATTTAAATAAGACATGACGAGCATTTTTTTTTACACAGAGAGTGGTTCGCGTGTAGAATGAACTTCCTGATGAAGTGGCAGATGTGGGTACAGTTGGAATGTTTAAAAGACATTTGGATAAGTACATGAATAGGAAAAGTTTGGAGGGATATGGGCCAAATGCAGGCAGCTTGGACTAGTTTAGTTTGGGAACATGGTAGGCATGGACTAGTTGGGCCAAATGGTCTGTTTCCGTGCTGTATGACTCTATGTCTCAGACCAGGGATCAAATCTGTGACCGTGCATTACACATAGCCCATTCAGATATCAAGACAAAGCTCTTTGTGTTGAAGGAATGGGTATTCAGGGATGTGCGGTTTAAGCAAAGATTTTCCATAACCTGTTTGAATAGCAGTGTCAAGGTTGATGGCCTGAATGGCCTTTCTCTATGACCCCAGTGAAAAATGTTACCTCTTCTCTGTCAGCCACCAGGAAGAGCTCGATGCTGAGATTGGCTTTGCGACTCTGGTCAAGAAAGAGGAGGAAGAAGAACACAGTGGTGAATGCATGTCCCTGCGACCCTCTTTCTTACATAGAGAGAGAGAATTGTCTGCAGTTCTGCTATTATGTCTCCTGGAAACTTTCGAAAGTTTATCACGTACATTTAGAGACACAATGGAGGTGATGGTCTATTGGTGTTATCACACAACTTATTAATCCAAAGACGCAGGTAATGTTCTGGGGACTTGAGTTCAAATCCCACTATGGATGAAATTTAAAATCAATAAGAATCTGGAATTAAAAGCCTAACGATGACCATGAAACCATTGTTGCTACAAACTCATCTGGTTCCCTGATGTCCATTAGGGAAGGAAATCTGCCGTTCTCACCTGTCCTGGCCTACATGTGACTCCAGGTTCACAGCAATCTGGTCGATTCTTATCTGCCCTCTGGGCAATTAGGGATGGGCAATAAATGCTGGCACAGCCAGCGATGCCCACGTCTTACGAATCAATTATCATAAAGTGGCTGTTCTGATAGGGAAAAGGCACTGTGATTCTGCAACATCCCACAAACAGGTTTGAAGTGAGTGTTGCTGATGAGTAAAAAGTGGTTGCTGGGCCACTGGGAGATCATAGAATCATAGAATTCCTACAGAGGGGAAGGAGGCATTCAGCCCATCGAGTCCACATCAACCCTCTGAACAGCGTCCTACCCTTTCCCTGTAACCCTGCATTTCCCATGGCTAATCTACTTAGCCTGCACATCCCTGGACACTACAGGCCAATTAGCATGGCCAATCCAACTAATCTGCACATCTTTGGACTGTGGGAGGAAATCGGAGCACCCGGAGGAAACCTGGATCAGACATGGGGAGAATGTGCGAACTGCACCCAGGTCCCTGGCGCTGTGAGGCAGCAGTGCTAACCAATGAGCCATTGTGCTGCCCTCGATGGTCTTGTTTATCTTCAGTAAGTATCATTACCAGCTTTTACCTATAAACGTGTAACAGACATTCCTGAGTTCATCTTGCTACTTAAAGGAGAGAATTTCCTTAATATCACATAGCGTCAGCCTTGATGGTGCACTCAAACACTCAGGTGAGTTTTGAATACAATGTTCTGTCAACTGAAGCATGTTAAACACTCCAGAAGGGAAATAGGGTGCTTGGTGACATGGCGCAATGAGAACAACCTCTCTCTCAATGTCGGCAAAACTGAAGAACTCATCATTGACTTCAGAAAGAAAAGAGGAGAACACGCCCCCATCTACATCAACGGAACTGAGGTTGAGAGGGTGGAAAGTGTCAAGTTTGTTGGAGTGACGATAACCGACACTGATGTGGACCTCCCGTGTAGGTGTGATCGTCAAGGAGGCACAACAACGCCTCTTCTTCCTCAGGCGGCTCAGGAAATTTGGCATGTCCATAAGGTCCCTCACCAACTTCTACAGATGCACCAATGAAAGCATATTGTCTGGGTGCATAACGACCTGGTATGGCAACTGCTCTACCCAGGACCATAAGAGACTACAGAATATGGTGTGCACAGCCCAGACCATTACGGAAGCCAACCTACCATCCATGGACTCTATTTCCATGTCTCACTGCTGCGGAAAGGTGGCCGACATTAGACCACACTTGGAATATTGTGTTCAGTTCTGGTTACCTCATTATAGGAAGGATGTGGAAGCTTCAGAGAGGGTACAGAGGAGATTTACCAGGATGCTGCCTGGACTGGAGGGCAGGTCTTATGAGGAAAGGTTGAGGAAGCTAGGGCTTTTTTCATTGGAGCGAAGAAGGATGATAGGTGTCTTGATAGAGGTGTACAAGATGATGAGAGGCATAGATAGAGTGGATAGCCAGAGACTTTTTCCCAGGGCGGAAATGACTATTACAAGGGGGCATAATTTTAAGGTGATTGGAGGAAGGTATAGGGGAGATGTCAGAGGTAGGTTCTTTACACAGAGAGTGCTGGGCGTGTGGAATGCACTGCCGGCAGTGTAGTGGAGTCAGATACTTTAGAGACTTTTAAGTGACTCTCAGATAGGCACATGGACGATAGTGAAATGTAGGATATGCAGGGTAGTTTGATCTTAGTAGGATAATAGGTCGGCACAACATCGTGGGCTGAAGGGCCTGTACTGTGCTGTACTGTTCCATGTTCTATGTAACATCATCAGAGACCCATCACACCCCAGTAATGACCTCCTACAACCTCTTATGTCAGATAGAAGATACAGAAACTTGAACACGCACACCAGCAGGCTCAGGAACAGCTTGTTACTGGGCATTATTAGACTAATAAATGGACTCTCTAGCCTCAAATAACGCTGATCTTGCTAACGTTGATCTCACCTAGGGCACACCATGTGCAATATAACCTGTATGCCTCTTTCTAAGTTGTTTTACAGCCTTTGATCTGTACATCCTTTGCTTACTGTGACCGGCTTGCACTGCTCACAAACAAAACTTTCCGCTGTACTCTGGTACATGTGACAATAAATCAATCAATCAATCAATCAGCTGAAAGCAGTTACACCATACGTAGAAAGTTATTAATAAAATCAAAGGTAGCCTCAACCACATCCTGCCATTCAAGAAAATCATGGCTCATCCTAATCCCAGCCTTGACCTAATTCCCTTTTGCCTCAGAACTTTTGATACATATGGTAACTAACATTATCACTCTCAGGTGCTGCATCAACACAAGTACAACTCGGGTCAAAGGAACCGAAGTGGACTATTCAGCCCTTCAAGCCAGTTCCACCATTCAGTGAGATCATGGCTAATCTGTGGCCTAACTCCTTATATCTGTCTATGGCTCATATCCCTTAATATCTTTGCTAAACAAAAATTTATCAAACTCAGATTTAAATTAACAACTGATCCAGCATCCGCTGCTGTTTGTGGAAGAGAGTTCCAAACCTCTATCCCTTTTGTGACTAGAAGTGCTTCCTAACATCTCTGCTCAATGATCTGGCCCTAATTTTCAGGCTATGGCCCCAGTTGTAAAATCCCCAACTAGTGGAAATCTTTTTGCAGGAGAAAAGTCTGATCCCCTTTCACATTTATCTGGTTCAGTTTTGAAACTAGCCCTGCTTAGTCCTCGGCTCCCTGACGAGAAGAAATAGTTTCTCTCGATTTATTTTATCAATTCTCCTCAATATCTTGAAAACTTCAATCAAATCACCTTCTAGATTGAAACCTTGGCTTCTGCAGTCTCTCCTTTTAATTTTACACTGACTCACTATCATTCTGGCAAGTCTATGACTCTATACCTACTCTGAACTCCTTCCAAGGCCTTTATGTGGATTAACCAGAGCTGTACTCCAGTACAGTACTCCAGCTTTGATTCAACTGGGGCTTTTATAACTGCAGCTAAACGTCTACTCTCTTGTAATTTAGCTCTTGAGAGATAAAGAGATAATGCCATTCACTTTATTGACTATTTTCTATACCTATTCCTGATATTTCAATGATCCATGTCACTGGGCCAACCTTCCTCTACCTCCCTATGGGCATAATCTTTCACCTTCCTAATTCTGGCCTACAGCTTGCTTCTGCTTTCTTACTCTCAACGGAGCAGACATCAATCAACTTGTTCCCGTACCCAAACTTAGTCAGTCCTCCTAAACTCTTTATTAGATCACTTTCAAATTTCAAATAGCTTCTCTGGGACCACCCTACTTCCCTCCTTTCTCATAGTACAGGTCCCATGTTCAAAATGCAGCAGACGTGGGACAGTAACCACGCCCAATGTTGGATTTTCCAAGATTTTGGACAATAAAATCAGCAGATAAGAACATAGGAAATAGAAGCAGGTATAGGCCATCTGGGCCCTCAGGTCTGCACCACCATTCAGTAAGATCATGTCTGATCTTTTGGTGGAAACATCTCCCCTTACTCATCCATTTACCATAAGCCTTAATTCCTTTACTGTTCAAAAATCTATCTAGACTTGCCTTAAAAACATTCAACGAGGAAGCCTCAACTGTGTCACTGGGCAGGGAATTCCACATATTCACACCTCTTTGTGTGAAGGAGTTCCTCCTCAACTCATTCTTAAACCGTTCCCCCTAATATTGAGGCTATGCGCTGTACACTTTGCATTAATTTCTTCTTTATTCATTCACAGGATAAGGGTGTTACTGGCCAGGCAGCATTTATTGTCCATCCTTAATTGCCCAGAGGGCAGTTAAGTGTCAACCACACTGCTGTGGACCTGCAGTCACATGTAGGCCAGACCAGGTAAGGCTGGCAGCTTCCTTCCCTAATGGGCTGACAGTTGGCACTGGTTTTTTGGTCATCATTAATCTTCTAATTCCAGACTTTTTTTTAATTTGAATTCAAATTCCACAGTCTGCCACGGCAAGATTTGAACCCAGGTCCTTGGAACATTACCTGGTTGTCTCCCCATCAGCTGATATTCTGTATTACATTGATACCAGCTGTATTGTGAACTTTATCCTTTCATCTAGGCTCTGTGACCTGGTGAAACCAAACCATGTGGCATCTGGACTTAGAAAATGAATAGACGTGTTAATGAACTTGTTAACTTTAAGGTGCAATGAGGCTGGAATTCTGACAGTGCTGGACAGCTGATGGAAATATAATAGAGTTGGACATCGGTCCATCCTTGGGGACTGGCACAGGGCCAATAGCGATCGCAGGTACATAACCTGGTGGTATGCAGAAAGATCCTGAGGTGTATCATTCCAACGTGGACAATGGCAGGCTGGAATAGACCAAAGCCAAAAGAACAGAACTGCCCAATTGCTTCTTCAGGAGCTTACTGACAAGCTGAGAAACACAATCAATGCCCTCTGGCTCAACTGCCTTAGTCTATATGGGCCATCTAACACCACCTCTAGCTGTTGCCATGGAGTTCCATTAAGGGCTGGCAAGAGTGTCATTGCCATAATTTCTTGAATATCCAGGGACAACTGTAGGCACAGCCTCTTACTACATAGTGTGCCCTTTTCAATTGCTGACTAAACATTCACGTTTAGGGTTAGTCTTGGTCACTTACCATGGATGTCATAGAGAATGGGGGAAGAATGTGCCTCTTGGTACGGACATGCCCCAACTGGATCACTTTGTGCTTCTGGTTGCTGTTTTCCACAGGGTCGATGGCATATCTCTGATCTCCAATTGATATGTAGCCACTGCAACAGGAGGCACGTGTGAGACATTTACATTGCCAAGAACTTAGCCTTGGTAAAGGCTGATAGATATCGCATTAACAGAAAGAAAGGACATGCATCTATATAAACACATTTCCAAATCTCTCTTTGTCCCTTTGACATGACCAGTAACTCACTTTTGAAGTACAGACACTCTTCTGCAGCCAATTTGCATACAGACCTGATGAGAGATCTGTTTTGATGATGTGTTAGTTATGGTTGCTGGGGAGATATCAGCTTCTTTCCTCTGAGACAGTGTCGTGCAATATTTTAAAATTCAAGAGGGCCTCACTTTGATGTCTTATCAGAAAGACGACACCTCCAACAGTTCATCATTCCCTTGACACCACACTGGAGTTCCAACTTGTATTGGGGCTTGAACCCACAAAAACATGCGACTTGGAGGTGAGTGTACTACCAGTAAACTACAACAGACAGGTTAATTAAGCAGATTAATCAGTGCTTTGAGGCTGTAATTCCTACCTGAGACCTTGACAGGTGCAAAGAGACACTGAAGAATCTTCTACACCCTCAACAAAACCCGTGTAGCAGCAGTGATTCTGGAACACAATTGAGAAGTATCTGGTTTAATGTTTTCGTTGTCAGAGAATATCTAATAGGCACTAAAAACACAACATGCTAGAAGAACGCTTAATGTTGCCAGGGTTGGAGGGTATGAGCTATAGGGAAAAGCTGAATAGGCTGGGGCTATTTTCCCTGGAACGTCAGAGGTTGACAGGTGTAAAATCATGAGGGGCATGGTTAGAGTAAATAGTCAAGGCCTTTACCCCAGAGTAGGGGAGTGCAAAACTAGAGGGCATAGGTTTAAGGTGAGAGGGGAAAGATTTAAAAGGGACCTAAGGGGCAACTTATTTACGCAGAGGGTGGTGCGTGAATGGAATGAGATGCCAGAAGAATTGATGGAGACTGGTGCAATTATAACATTTAAAAGGCATCTTGATGCGTACACGAATAGGAAGGGCTTAGAGGGATATGGGCTAAATGCTCGCAAATAGGACTACATTAATTTAGAACATCTGGTTGGCATGGATGACTTGGACTGAAGGGTCTGTTTCTATGATGTACATCTCTATGACTGTGACTCTATATCTGCCTGCAATTATGTTTTATTGGAAAATTAATTTTTCTTCAATTTCACTCCCAGTTTATTACCCAGAAAACATTTACACCTCCCTACAGTTCTGTTTCAGCTCTTTTGGTTCCTCTCCAGAATCTTTTCCAAGAAGCTATTTGGCTTTGTGATTCATTGTAGATCTTGTGTTTGACATTGCCACATGCCCATTTCAAGTAGAGATTCCTCAGCACTGGCAAGGTGGGTGTTATCTCCCCTGTCTCCACTCCACTCTCCCACCCACCCCCAACCCCCCAACCAAGCTCTGCTCCAGGGACTCCATGTACACTGAGGACAAGGCTCAGGGATCAAGCTGATAAGTCTATAAGACCATAACAAATAGGAGCAAGAGTAAGCCATTCAGCCCCTGGAGCCCACTCCACCATTCAATAGTATCATGGCTAATCCGACATTTCTCACATTCACTTTCCTGCCTTTTTCCCATAACCCTCGTCTCCCCTACTAATCATTAATCTGTCTCAGCCTTAATTTTTGATTTCAATTTGATCCGATTTGATTTAATATTGTCACATGTACCGAGATACAGTGAAAATTCATACCTTATATAAGTACATCAGGGTAACAGAACAGATTACAGAATATAGTGTTACAGCTACAGAGAAGGTGCAGAGAGAGATCAACTCTAATATGTGAGAGGTCCGTTCATAAGTCTGATAACAGTGGGGAAGAAGCTGTTCTTGAATGTGTTGGTACATGTTTTCAAACTTTTATATCTTCTGCCTGATAGAAGAGGGTGGAAGAAAATATAACCGTGGTGAGCGGGATCTTTGATTATGTTGGCTGCTTTCCCAAAGCAGCGGGAAGTATAGACGGAGTCAATGGATGGAAGACTGGTTTGCGTGATGGACTGGGCTGTGTTCACAATTCTCTTCCGGTTTTTGGCAGAGCAGTTGCCATACCAAGCTGTAATGCAGTTGGATTGAATGCTTTCTATAGCATATCTTGTAAAGTTAGTAACAGTCATTGTGGACATGTTGAATTTCCTTCAGAGGAATTGGAGACATTGGTGTGCTTTCTTGGCCATAGTATCAATCTGGATGGACCAGGATAGATTGCTGGTGATATTTACTTCAATGAATCTGAAGCGCACCTCAGCACTATTGATGCAGACAGGGGTGTGTCTTTCTTGAAGTTGATGACCAGCTCCCTCATTTTGCTGACATTGAGGGAGAGATTGTTATCTTTATACTATGCTTTTACACTAAGCTGTCTATCTCCTTCCCGTATTCTGTCATGTAGTTGTTTAAGATCCAAGCCCCTATGGTGGTGTCAACAGCAAACTTGTAAATGGAGTTACAGCCCAATTTGGCCACACAGTCATGAGTGTATAAGGAGTATAGTAAGGGGCTAAGTACACAGCCTTGCGGGGCACTGGTGTAGAGGATTATGGTGGAGAAGGCATTGTCACCTATCCATATTGATTATCCTCTAAATATACACAGGAACTCTGCGTCTACAGCGCTCAGTGGCAAGGAGCTCCAAGGACATAAAGCCATCTGAGAGAAGAAATTCCTCCTCATCTCAGTCTTAAATTGGCACCCCTTAGTTCTGAAACTGTGACTGGTGGCCTTCATGTAATACATGACCCAGCTGCTTCAGAAATTCACTCATTGGAGGTTGAGGGCAGCCCTTTTCTTTGGAAAAATAGAGAAGTGTGCTGTCAATGTGAGACGAGAGGAAGCTGGTGTGGAGCAGTAACACTAGCATAGACCAATTGGGCTGAATGGCCTGTTTGTGACCTGCAACTACTGGGTCGTTCTACATTAACACACAGGACTCACTAGGTGGTGTCGTCTCTCCGTTACCATGGATCCATTCGCAAGGTAATGTGATTCGCTGTAGGTCTGCGTCAGCAGGTCTCTGAGGAAATGAAAGAAAGAAAAGGTACACTCTCAGATGTGATAGTTATTACTTGAATATTTTACTGAATCCCACCATTTGTCGGACAGTGAACAGTGTGCATCTCCTTTCCTTAAATGTTTTGTGAGTTGATGACGAAGGGTCACTGGACCCGAAATGTTAACTCTGACTTCTCTTCAGCGATCCTGCCAGACATGCTGAGCTTTTCCAGCGATTTCTGTTTCTGTTAAATTTTATTGCTCCTCAGAGAAACACTCAAAGCACCGGAGATTTGGGTTCGATTCCACCCTCGGGCGACTCTCCGTGTGGAGTTTGCACATTCTCCCCGTGTCTACGTGGGTTTCCTCCGGGTGCTCCGGTTTCCTCCCACAGTCCAAAGCTGTGCAGGCTAGGTGGATTGACCATGCTAAATTGCCCATGTTGTTCAGGGGTGCGTAGGTTAGGTGGGTTAGCCATGGGAAATGTAGAGTTACAGGGATGCGTTTGGGCAGTGGTGGGTCAAGGTGGGATGGTCTATAGAGGATCAGTGCAGACTCAATGAATGGCCTCTATCTGCACTGTAGGGATTCTATGAATATCACTTTTGTGTCTAACAGGTTAGAGCACAATCGAACAGTACAAGTGCAACACTGTGAAGCTGTGGCATTGCCTGAGGTTCTATTTTTTGAATGAGATATTAAGCCGTCTTGTCCCTCAAGTGAACATAAAAGATTTTAGAGATAGTAGGAACTGCAGATGCTGGAGAATCCGAGACAACAAGGTGCAGGGCTGGATGAACACAGCAGGCCAAGCAGCATCATAGGAGCAGAGAGGCT